CAGAAAGATAGGAGGATTTACGCCGTACCAAACGACTACCTCTGAATCCTATAAGAGTTAGGATTTATATTACACAATATGGTTGTGCAAAGACCTAAAGATAGAATGAGAAATTATGTCATGTTAGTTGAACCACATCGAAGCCCTATGGATTTGTTATTGTTTAAACTAAGGGAAGGTTTAGCTGAAGTAGATTTGTTTCACGTTTTGTCCTGCTGATTCGTGTTGTCTTGATCGCCGTCTTTCGTTTGCTTGCTTCCTCATTTCTCATTGCGATGACTCCAGGTTTAGGGTTTATGTTTTGTATTTGCATGTGTATTTATTGTTGGGTCTCGTGGCTTGTCGTAGGGTTCCACTTCTTCACATCTTTATCGCCTATGAATATTGGAGATATGGTGACAACTTTGACTTATTTATGTGATAGCATCTTTAAGTTCAACATAAGTTCAGTTGGAAGTAGTTGTGTGAGGGGTTGCGTGCTCACCGGCGAGGGAGAGTGTTGACAATGTGAATCATTTTGGATTTTAGAGTGCTTGAGTAACAGTAAACTGGGTTGGATCTTTGATGGCAGGAAATGATGGATCATTGGCCTCATCCTTATCCGAGCTTAAATATTCTGTAATGCTAAATTTTCAGCATTTGATCCATCATCAACCTTGTGACGCGTTCTTCTCCCAATTGTTGTTTGGAACAGAGAGAGGAGAGCAGAAATGACAGCGTGCTCGGGTTTTACCTCGCAAAAGTACACAAGGAAGGTTGTATGAGAATATTATAAGATCACATAAATATATGTGCAAGTAAGCATATCAATAAACATGCAAATGACCAAGTGCATTAATTATGCATATCACCCAATTACAATGCATTCCCACATCTAACACCCAATTCTTATGTATGGAAATCTTCCTAAGACTTAATCATCCTATATGTCAAATATTCTTCTTCCCTTATTTATTTTTTAATCAATTCATTCGTTCTGCAGCGATGAATTAGAATATGTATAAAAAAGCTTCATAAAATTTCTTTGAGAAAAAGGATGGCACTTAATCCATAAACATCATGATCAGTGAACCAAGGGTTTGTAATTGAACTCCAATCATAGACTAACGAAAGAAACTCATCGCAAGCCATACAGCAGTAGGTGAGGTGTTAGATATGTAAATACATAAGAATTGAGACTGTAGATCTTCCAATAAGTCAATTAGTAACTTGCATATGTGAAATCACAGCAGGATTTAAGCAAATTAATTAACTGTTGGCCTATAATTGTCTCTTTCTGAAGCTTTGATGCCGATTCAGTACTGATATACTTGGCATAAAAAATCATTCATCTTGGCTTAGCTTCAAATCAGAATATTAATGCTGTCATTCTGTGCTAATTGCACGCCTCAAAAGGCTAAACACTAAATATATTTTATTTGAACATAATAGAAAAAAAAAAAGGTATATAAAACAAAACTGCATTCCTAGAACTAGGGCTGTCAATTTGGCTCGTTGTTCGCGAACAGCTCGTGTTCGGCTCGTTAAGCAGCTCGTGTTCGGCTCGTTCGTTAAGCTTAA